TTAACCTGTGCACATAGTTTTTTTTTTTTTTTTTTTTTACACGATTGTCTCCCAACAATGACTTTTTGTGCGTCTGGCTCTGGGCGCGGTGGATGTGCCATGGCTCGGGTATTCCTCTCCATCTGTGTGCTGGTGCTCGGGTCGCTGGGCTGGGCTGGAGCCGAGCAGGCCGATCCGACCGCGGGGAGCCCACCGGCTGTCACCCTCCGTACTCTGATCACCGGAACCTGCCAGGAGGTCCAGCGTTACGCGGAGTCGGTGGTGGGAAGCGGCGTGATACGGTCAGCTGCTGAGGTACAGAGAGGAGGTGCACCACCGGTTGATAGCAGACTGTTTCTCTCTCTCCCTGCACCAGGAAGTGGCTCTACACTTTCCTCTTTTATTCCTAATATATATCCTGTTGTAGACTACTAGGTGTTTGCTCTAACTTCACTGTGTCACTATTCTTGATCAATAACTGTACCTGATCACTAATTTTTAAAACTCCAACTCCTGTCATCTCTCTCCATCCATTTCCTCACCCTTCACACACATTCCTCTTCCCCCTTGCTCCTCAACTTGTTAATCTCCCTCCCTGATCCCCTCATCTTCTCTGCCCTCATTTCATGTCTTCTTATATCCATGCATCCCCCTCTCTTTCTCTCACCCACACACACACACACTTTTCTGTCTCCCTGCTTCCAACCCGGCTCCCTTTTCCCCAGAGTGCAGTGTTGTTTCTTGAGTCATTGCTTGGTCAGGAGAACATCTATACAGTGGCCATGGTAAGAAACCTCCTGGGCGTCTCCATCTAGCCTGCCCCCGGCTGACATGGTCCCTTAAACAGAGTCCTCTCATGTGGCTCTGTTTAGCTCATGTCACCCTGTAGTTAGTGCAGTGAGTACGAGCATGACCGTAGCCATACGTGTGTTTCTGTACAGTGCTATTTGCATGAGAGGCCACAATATAGGCCCGCTTCTAGTGATAAGATGCTGAAACTGTTCAACATGACTCAGTTGGTAGCTCTGAATGGAAAATATAGGGTGTGTACATGATCCATGGATGAGAAATCGACTTTTAATGAGTGCCCGAATTGAAATGGAGCCGTATCCCATGTTTGAAGACAGTTTAAAATCAGATAACCTTAAGCCAAAAGTTAAACAAAAGATCTGCACACCGGACTTAAAGATCATCAGTTAACTTTAATGTTACACAACATTTCTTTGACAGGCATTGCTTGATAACGTTGCTTTGTAAATATAGTGGGAGCTATGAGTACAATGTGCAGATCCTTTGTCTAACTTTTGCCTTCAGTTTAAGTTCTGTTTGGTTTTTTAAGATGTGCATGCTCTGCACACTGCACACATGTAATCCTCAAGTCAGCTTTTAAGCATTAATATGACATTGCATCGGGTAAACTAAAAGTAAGCACAGTATTGTCTGTTCGGAAGCTCACAAAAAGACACAATGCGATTTGTATTTTCAGCTTTTTCTTTGTTGAAAACAAAGAGCTGAAACTTACGCCATTTTAACTACCTTTTACAGGCCGCATCACACCTTTTATAAAAGGTCTGTGGCTACACCAGACTGTTGGCATTAACAGTCTTCATTAAAACAGTGAAGTGTGTATTTGGTTCGGGAAACTGAGCCTCATAATACCACAGAGCAGTAAATGATTAAGTGTGTTTTCGAGTGATATACACACATTGACATGGAGTGACAGATGCTTGACTCCCGCTCCAACATGCTGGACAGTCCTCACGTATGTGCCAGTGTGTAGAGCAACAGGTGCAGATAAGATACTCGTCCAGCTTACTGAGCTACCCTTGACCTCGCTAGACGAGGCTGCACTGTGTATATATATATGTGTGTGTGTGTGTGTGTGTTTGTGATTTTGGGGGGGTGGTGAGCAGAGACTGTACAGGAATAGAGAGGGGCACTGTCCAGCTGTCACTTGCATGCACAGCTGTTTGTCCAAGTCAACAATACAGCACTTCTTCTATCTTAAGGTACTGTGAATATCAGTCTTGCTGTTCTATGAACCTGTGCATTTAGAGTCATGAGGATACATCTAGGTTAGCTGTTTTTGTAAACGGATCTGTATCTCTTCACTGCATGGTTAGAATCAGAATGTTGTCTCTCTTCATTGTTACAGTGTTAAGTAAAAACATGTCTCCACCCTCCCTCCACCCCACCACAGTTTTTAGAGATGGTGATTCGATTCCTCGCTGAAGGAGCTGCCAGCGGCCTGAACGTCATCGCTGTTTATGTCACAGAGATCCTCAGGGTCACAGGATTCGACGGTGGGTACTAGGATGGCCTGTGTGTGTGTGTGTGTGTGTGTGTGTGTGTGTATGAGCTACTGACTGTGTTTAGGCTTCGCTGCATGTCTTGCTTTTTCCTCCCTGTATGTGTAGCTCGCTGCAAACTGTCTGCTGGAAGAAAGAATCTGTGGCAATAAAAGTGCGAGTGAAAATATGCAGCCTTGCCTCTCCTCCGGGCAATTTGTCTGCCACTCCTTTTTAAATGTGTGTTTACCTCTGTTGCTTCCTGTGTTACAGAAAGCTTTTATTCTTCATTAAAATATGCCTAAGCTGGATTTCCTCCTTCCGCAGTTGCACTGACGTTGCCCCGCTTCACTCCAGAGGGCGTGACCGCCATCGCCCAGTGGGGTCTGGTGGCCCTCATTGGCTACTGGGTGCTGACGATCGTTCTCCGTCTGTTCATCTGCGTGGTGAGGCGAGTTTTCTGGGTGGTGAAAACCGTCTTGTCGCTCTGGCTTTTCGGACTGATTGTGACCGACAAGACTGCCGCTGCGGACACCACAGCGGTTCGACTGGGCGGCCTGGTGCTGGGATGCGTCCTGTTGACTCTGCTCACTTCGGGCTCTGAAAAGACTTGTGTAGTGGACAACCGGCTGAGCAGCCTGGAGGGCCGGCTGAAAGCAGTAGAGAAGAGGAAAGGGGAATAGTGACCGGAGAGGGTGGAGGGGAAAGGAGTTAAGATGGACAAAGGTTAATCTCGGTTAAGAAAATAGTAACATTGATGGTTTCTATATGTGTGTGTTAAACTATCATGGTAAATAAAGTCTCTGGGATTTTTAATCAATAATGCTCTTTTTGTGTCTGCCTTTGCCCACACAGAATACTTTTACAAGGATAAACACACAAAGGTATTGAAAGGCTGCAATAGCAAGACTACTGTGCACAGATGATTCACAAGTCAGACCGAAGACTCTCTTCTTTCTGTTAAAACCTTTCCACAATTGCATCTCTAATATCCTCACAGTGACAATGCTAACATTAGCAGGTATAATGTTTACCATGTTCACAATCTTAGTTTAGTATTTCAGCATGGTAACATTTGCTAATTAGTACTATGAGATGGGAATGTCATTAGTTTCTGCAGGGAATAAATCTAAAGTATTAGAGAAAGTTTGATCTGATGGTGGCTTTAGATAAAAAGTCATTAGGGTATCCTCTGGGTGCCATCAATGTCGGTATTAATTAAATGATCTAATGGTCAATGGTTAAAGTTCGCCAGTTTTTGGTTTGTACTTTCTGTGCTACTGTAGAGAAATTACGTCCGCCATGGAAAGCGACGGGCAGCATCTGTAGATAAACAAGGTTCATAGCTGACCCGTTGACCGTCTCTTCAGTCCCCTGAGCCTGATTGGTCCCCTGCTGCTCAGTCAGCTGGAAGCTTTTTTGATCCTCCGGGTTCACACCAACAATCTTCATCCCCACTGCCACTCCAACCGAGTGGAACAACCTGACCCCAGTGCCAGAATTATCACTCCTGTTAGCTCACTCTGCAGCAGCAAAACTCTCTTCACTCCTACACTTTGCTGTGGTGGAGTGCCAAGTGGGCCAGATAAGAATCCACAGTGAAACTAACTGGGAGGACTCATTGTGTCACCATCTCTCTGCATCATCACAAGGATAGAGAGCGATGATCATGTGATTTTAGACCTGAATGTATTAGAAAAATGATTACTTGATGATAATTTTATTAATGCCTAATATGAGAAGGTCGCAGTCGCACAGAAGATGTGTTTAAATGGCACTATTGATTTTAAAGCAGCAAATGAATACAAGACAGAATAATAAGAGGATCCTTTAATGTATTTGTTAAATACAGAAATATTTCACTTTGGTAAGAACATTAAGACTCCAGCATGGGGAGATTTCTGTATGCTGGTATCTGTATGCTAACATACAAAACATAGTTCAATATAAACAAAACGTTCGATACCTGTGTGCAATAGTTTATGTCAAGTATAATGTTAACTTCTGTTCTGAAAGATTTGATTATTTAAATCTTTTATTTAATTATATTAAATAAGTTAATTGGTGCCTGTATAACATCTAACCTTAGATCCCAAATCTATCTATAATTTAATCTGGTTAGAGATGATAAATTATGTGATTAGAAGATACATTTCAAAATGTTATTGAATGTTGTTTTTTCGCTCTTAGAGTTAAAGGTGTTAGTTTCTAATTTGTTTCTTTTTACAGAGACATCTTTAATTCACCTTGCAGACATGAATCCACTGTAATCCTATGTGATTAACCGTTAGAGGTTTTCAGGATCTGAGGGTAACAAATGTGTCTGCAAAGAATTGGTTATTGTCTCATACAACAAACAGATTTACGGCTCTGTAGTTTTTCTTTACAACACACAAAAGGTGTCGCCGTATTTTAACTCCTCCTCAGTTGACTTCCTTCTGTGAACCAGTTGGTATGGTGGGAAAGAATTTACATGCTTGGATGAGCTTTTGCCTGTGTGGTGACGTGTTGGCTGGGTGGTGCTTGTAGCAGTGTCACAGAATTACTAGTAAATTATGTTGTTTGTGAGGACATGAAGACAGTGGAACAAGTACAAACAAATCATTCAGGAGGATTTTATTAGCTTTAATACACCTGACACAAGGTCTAAGTACACTAACATACAAACACCAGATGCTCACAGAAATGCAAAAATAAACAATTTAAATGAAATGAAATTACGATTCAATCTATTGAATCAATAAATATTTAACTTCCTGTTGTGTTTAGTATATCCTATATTGAGAGTGAGAGTGATAAAATGGAGAAAGAAACACATTGCTGCTGTCGTCAAGTTTAGACTTGGATTGACATGAGTGCAGCACAGAGGTATTTATATACCATTGTGCCACCCACCATTGAAAATATGTACAAAGAAAAGGCCAGCAGTGCACGTGATATCTTTACACAATCAATATATTATGAATCTTATATTAAAAAACATTTATCTACACCCCAATACACTAGCTATATATCAGTATATATAAACACCTACAGCAATCCCAAGAGAAAGGGAAATGTCTTCTATTTTTAAATACAGAGAGACATAGATATATATAATATATAAATACAGAGAGTTTGCAGATATAAGGCTACTTTGTGTTTGTTTCTTCCCTGAAAAGTAAAGCTGGTCTACAAAAACATGCTGCATCCCTGACAGAAGTGCATGGATGAGAAAGTTATTCACTCAGTATTATGAAAACCTGTACCTCTCTTTAAGTGAGACTCATGAGGTAGAACATTACTGTCCATAATGCAGGCACTGTTAATTTCAAGTACATGTTTTTAAGTGAAAATTTCTGTTTTGCCTATGGCTTTGAACCTGTGATCCTGGGGTACGAAGTCTCATACTCTGTTAGTGACACATGCAGCTTTAGAAGACCCTAAAAAAATTAAATAAATGGGACCAACTCAGATGCAAAAAATTGTCTTCACTCTTACTCTCATAAACGTTGGCCCAGTTAAACATTGTGGAAATTGCAGTATCTGGAAGAACAGATACTATAGCTGTGTGAGGAGTAGACGTGCAGGTCCCACAAAAACTGTCAATGTTAAAACAATAGTCTAACATTTTATGAAATATGTTATATTTGCTTCCTGCAGATAATCAGATGAGAAGATTGATGCCACTCTCCTACGAGCACTTCTAAAGCTTGTTATTTAACGTTATACTTGTTTCTTTATCCACAAAACAGTCACAATTTGCTGTTTTATGTGGGGGCTTCTGTGCCAGACTATTTCTTTGCTGGGACCAGTTGCCAGGCAACCGGCAGAGGCTCCAGGAGGCCACTGGTGAATATTTGTATTTCCCAAAATGCTGAACTAATTCTTTAATGTTGCACTAAAGAGTGAGTTTACACATTTGAGTGTACCTTTCAAACTCCGGGCTTTCAGAGGAGGTTTAATTTGTCTGAGGTATAAACATAACAGGTAGGTGAGTCCGAGCTGAGTGGGGCAGAAGAAGAAGAAGAAGAAAAGGCGTTCCCCTGAAGTTCAAACCGCTGCCCGGGCTCAGAGAGGAAGGGGACAGTTGGAGCTGGAACCTGAGAGAAAAAGATAAAATATTAGCACAAATATTAGCTTCTGTTGTTTTACAGGTGCTGCGTGGAGAATATTCATGTCAAATTATTATCTTCAGTTTTTGTTTTTAAAACTTCAAAGATATGTGATCATTTTTGAGACTGTAGCAGGTGGAGGTGATTTTAATGAGAAGTGTTTTTTTTCCACCCAGTACGCTCATCATATGTAAAGCCGGTCAACAAATACCTTTCAATTCAACAACACTGAATACAGCCTCACAATTTAGTTAAATCAACACCATTCTGATATATTGACGTAAAAAACTGAACAATGTAACGTAGGTTAATCAATTTGTATAGTAGAATGCAGCAATAGTAGAATAAACTTTCTATTTCCTTTAATTAATTTAAGTCCTTTAATTGCACAGAAGCAAAAAAAATCACAGCTAATAAATCAACCTTACACTAAGATTGTTTTATTAACAGGTGTTTAGAGGATTTTAAGTTTTATTTTACATTGTGTGCTGCTGGGTCAAATATCATGAGAAATCAGTGGAATGCTTTATAGTCCAAAGGACAGAAGCAGCACGTCGCTTTCTGAGTTCCACCAAAAAATGGCAGATGGTGGAAAAATTGAAAACTCACAGCAAAACTCACTTTCAACTTTTAGTTTTGCATAATTAAAAAGACAAACCTATACAATAAATGGAGTGACACCACTAACAGGAGGTGCTGAGTGGCCACATAATGAGACGTGGTGTTAAAGGTACCATGAGGA